TACTTAAATGACAAAAATTCAGTGATTCTGGCCTTGTCAGGAATCATTAGTTCAGATGTAACATATATTTTGAGGCACCTGGAGTGGGAAGTTTTGGAACCAGAGCCAGACAAAATGAAACAAATTGCCTACAACTTTGAATCCCCTGCACCAGAGTGCTTAGTGTGTTACTTTACATATATATACACACACATGTATATATATATTTTCTTCCCAACAGTCAAACAATCAGTACTTTAAGGCCATCAAAATGCTGACTATTTGAAGTAATTGTTCCAAGCTGGTTAGAAGATCATAGGAACGTATCTCCCGCATCTGGAACGCCCCAGACTGTTTCAAATCTCTCACTGGGAAACAAAGGAGAGATTTCACTTGGAAGTGTCTTAAGTAGGCTATTTCATTGACCAAAAATGGAATAAAGGAGGAAAACATGTATTTAAAACGTTTCAAATGGGGGTGGGTGCAGCTCAGTGGTAGAGTGTGCGCTTAGCACGCAGGAAGTCCAGGGTTCAATCCCCAGTGCCTCTGTTTAAACAGCAACAATGACAAATTACCACCCCCACCAAAAAACAAACAAAATTTTGATGGATGAAGGAATGAATCACCTCTCTCCTGTACATGGCATGGTCAATATCAGTGAACAGGTTTTGTTTTGTTTTTAAAACAAAACTCACTAGCCAGGAGCATGCACTGTTCTAAAGCATATTCACTAAAACAGCATGTCCAGCTTGAGCTGTATAATCGTGATCAAACCAAGGTCAAGAGTAACTCAAGAGCAAGGGAGTCTTTGGCCAAAGCCAGTGTTAAAGACAAAGGTGGAAGTCTGTTCTCTTGGTCTAATACATGACTTAACTTGAGTAAAATAATTAGGACAGAAATAAACATGAGACAAACAATGATGAAAGTTTCCCTCCAACTTTCTCTTCCATCTCTTTGCAAACATAGGCATGAATAAAAGCCACTAAAAATGTTATTAAAATATCTGACCAAACCCTGACGCTGCTGCATCCTGAGAATGCCCGCAGTGCTAGTCCCACAGATCTTTAGCAAGAGGGTAGTGAGGCGAGGGAGAGTCCCTGCACCACCCCCACCCGGAAAAGTCATTTTCCATCATCTAATGGATAGCAGGTAGGGAGTGGCTGAGAGCTTGGTGGCTTTCTGAATAGAAAAGCAGTCTTTGTTTTCTCATTATTAGGCTTACAGGAGCGATGGCTTCAACCATTCGTTGGGTTCTGTTAATTTCTCCAGCTGGATCGTGCTAGACCTTGGGGCTTTCATACTTGCTCTCAACAAGATCTATTTGTATGGATCAATTAAAGCAGATAAAAGGTTCACCTCTAAGGCAGCAAGTTCCAGCTTAACTAGTGACATTTGAATATAGTAAACTAGAATAGAGAAACCATTATGTTGTAAAAATATTATTTAGCAGCTCATGTACTGTCATTTCATAGCACTCAGGGGACTGGGGAGGAGGGGCGGTTGGTGGGCTGGGCTTGGAGGTTCCAGCGACCCTCAAGCTAAGCTCCATCCTCAGAGCTGTCTCTGTAGCTCACTCATATGCAGGCTGAACTGAACTTTTAATAAAAGTGTTCTAAAAAGGATTAAAAACAGCTCAGAAACATCGGAAAATCTTTAGACATGACTGTCACCAATCTGCCATTGCTATGACCAAGAAAGCCCAAATCATACTACACTATCAAAGGAAGTAATAGAACATCGTGAACACACACGCGTAACGTGCATAAGCTAGTGTGGAAATCTGCAGCAAATTATTTGAATGAGAAGCACATTACATTGAAAAAATCATTTTTAACTTTAAATGATCATGTCTGAGTGTATATTATCTACACAAGTCTTGCAATTGTGTGTGCACGTGTGTGTGTGTATGTGTGTGTGTGTGTGTATGTGTGTATGTATAGATAATGTTCAACACAACCAGGAGGAGAGATGTTACTATTTAATTTCTTTTTTGTTTTGTTTTTGGGGTTTTTTGGGGGGGGTAGGTAATTAGATTTATTTATTGAATTAATTATTTTGAATGGCGGTGCTGGGGATTGAACCCAGGACCTTGTACATGCTAAGGACACGTTCTACCACTGAGCTCTACCCCTTCTTTTAATTTCTGATTGAGAAAAGGTTGGGCAATTGGTTAGAACAGTAGAGCTATTAGGTGGGTCAGGCAGAGCCTGAACTCAGAACCAGCTGACTTCAGACCCTGTGTTTTCTGATTACATCCCCTCTATAAACCACACACTGTGAAGCAATATGAACCACTGCCTCTGTATTTGGACGAATATGAAGGATCGTGGATACAACTGTACAGCTTCGCAGAATGAATAGGAAAGTCTGAAAAGTCTTGGGGAGCCTTTTCACAAGACTGGCTTTTATAGACAGAGGCAGCAGAGCATACAAAAGCCAGTGTCTCAGGCCGTGGGCAGACCACAGAGCACAAAGGCAGCGGGAGGATTTTCCTCACCCAAGCCTGGGTAGACCTTCATCATTCACCAGTGCATTAAATTCTACCTGGCTCTTGGAAACAGTCGTTTGCTTGATAGCTCCTTTGTGACCCAGGGAGTTAATACGCAATCGCCAGTGGCCTAACTTCCAGCTGGGGAGGAGTTTTGGCAGAGGAGAAAAAAAAATCTTATTCCATTTCTCACAAATAATAGGAAGATGGAAGTTGGAACCAACTACCTCACTATTTTTGTTAGGAAAGCGCTGTTCTGTTTTGACACAGGTCACTGAGACACCGGGGGCAATTTCCATGGGAAGATATTTCCTTGAGTCATCATAAGCAGATGAAATGTACAATTTCACCATGGAAAGGAAATGGGTGAACTATAAAATGTCCTTTTAATGTTCAGACTTTCTGGGTCCTTTTATATTAGAAGGTTGAGACTAAATTCTAACTACCTATCTTAGTATCTAAGTACATATTTAAGTCAAATGTGTAACTTTATATCTTTAAACGGTTGAAAATAATTGTCCAGATTTTTCACAGGTTCAATTCTTTGCCCAAATGCTGACTTAAAATGACCTATTAAGTGCTTACTATGCATAATTAATTTTGCTATAGATTTGTGAAGATGCTGATATAATTACATGATTTTAATTTTCTTGTCAGGTGATAAAACAGGAAGAACTTGGAAAGGATCTTTCTGATTGTATTTTGTACGATCTACTGAAATACGATGATTTTAACTCTGACAAGCACCTGGCTCTTGAAGAGTTTTACAGAGCATTCCGTGAGTATGAGATTCATTCTCAAGTTCCTCTTTGTTCTTTTCCCGTTTCATTGCACAATATGGTGTGTTTGCTTGATCTCAAAGTACAAGCTGTTTCTTGAGAGGAGTGATACCACTGAGATAATTGTAGTATTTGGCTGTACTGAAACATGTAAAAGCTAAGGGATTTAGTAGTTCTAAAATGAAGAGCTGGAAATATTTGATAATAAACCTTGCTATCAGTTCTTGTTGATTTTAAGACATTAATTCCACCATTAATTCCAATGCTTCTTCCAAGGTTATTTCTGAGTTGTCATTATAGGTCAAAAACAATTTAATTATTTACACAGTGACCCTTTTTTTTTAACTGGGAAACCAGAGTAGATTAATAGATGAAGTTTACATACACATTAATAACAATAATTAGCATAAGAATAGAAAATTATATTTATGTGAAGACACTCTAGAATGATTTATATATGTTTAAGTTACTTAAATACTTCTTAGAATTGAGTCATTGTGCTTCGTAAAGAAAGTTTAGAAGGCGATTTGGTTAGCACAGCTACTTGCCAGGTTAGTCTTTAAAAAATAATTCAAAGGAATAAAGACTAAGAGATGAAAAACAGAAAGGGAAGATTTAGGTGCTGTGTGTAAAAGAAAAAGGAAAAAATTAAATGAGCTGGTTGGTATTTGAAAATCACCAAAGGAATTTTTATGTGTGTGCTGTGTGTGTGTGTATAATATGTTTGGTAAACAAATGTTCGCTGGGCCAGGCAGAGACCATGGGACACAGAGAGGAATGTTAACAAGCAGACTGTGCTAGGTTCCCTCCTGTCTGCACACCTAGTTCGTACTATAGTGATCCATGCTGATACCTCCCTTCCTGGAACAGGTCCTCCATCTACTTTCTTTTATGTAGTTAGGAGGAAGCTTGAAGTTTCTTTCTGAGTCTTTTGGGCCTTGATTGTTTTCACCTGGAAATAATACGCATCCTAAATAGACTATTTGGGGTGGTAAGTTTTGCTCCCCTACAGTAGCATAAATAAAATCTCAAGTGCATGACCCACCAGACTATTCAGAGAAACTAGTCCACCTGCAAGGTCCGTTCCAGGTCTGAAATTCTATGGAAATATGTCAATTCTTATTTCTATTTTGCTAACTTATTTTATTAAATAAGCACCCTGACCCATCCTAACCGACTCCTTTTCCCAACCCCGTACTATGAAGACCCATGGATCTGGATCCACACAGTTGACATCTAGAGCAATAGCAGGAAATATTTTCAGTGGTATACAATCTATCAAGCATCAATAGGATAATTAAATGGTATGTTCATGGTGGATTTTTATTCAAAATGTAGTTCTTCATGATGAAATAGTGAGGCTAGAAAGTAAGAAAAATATTGAAAATAAAGTGTGAATAATATACTATATTTATGATAACACCACAAAGACTGAAGAATGATGCCTGTTAATATCAGCATGTAGAATTTTGCCTAGAATCCTGCTATGGGGACCTGTCAAGGGGAAAAATGGTATCGTGTTTGAGATATGAGTTGATGTGGTAAGGAAGGTAAGGTAGATCAGTATAGTGTCCTGACAAAATTTTGTAATTCGGGAATCTGAATCATCCATAAAAGCATTCAATGGAGACATAGTAAAACATTGTTTATAAAGGCGTGTAATAGGAACTATGAATTTGGATAGAAGAACACCTATATGATGTCGTTAACTATCAGAAGGTAATATGGTAGCAATTTTATGTAAATTATCTATAGTAAATGCACTGAATTAAATGCATATTGTGATGATTCTGCCGTTCGGTCAAAATAAACACAAAAGGTCAACATTTTTAACATTTTGTATCACAAAGAGATATTAGGTAATGAAAGCACTTGGCAATCAGCAATCATAAGCTTTTATACTTTTGAATAATCACAAGTTTTTTCCTTCACTATGATAAAATGATATGCACATAATTATTTAGAGAAGATAATGTCTTTCTATGTCATTCTGGAATTACATGGAGTGTTTCAATATTCCTTGTGATCTCGCCACGCTCTGCAAGGTTTCGCACTTTCAGTGTGTCACCCTTATCAAACAGGGCGCCAGGCTTCGTGATGACCCCTTGGAGATGGCAAAGCCAACCTGTTTGAATGGACAGTATCAGCAAGAGATATTCATGTTACCTCAAAAGGGGAGGGAAAAGATCCCAGTTCTTGTCTTACCCGAAAGAGAAGATTTCAGACTGGAGATAGAAGCGTTGTGTAGCAAAAGATTTTAAAGGTTTTATTAGCAAAGGGGAAGCACCCCTCCAAGACTGGGAGGCGGGCTCATCCCAGGGCGGGTAGCAGTGGTCTTTGTTTGCCCCCTCCTCTTATACCCTCACTTAGAGGGGTGTCTCTTGATTGACTGACAGCTCTTGCCTCTGGAGTGCTCAGTCATGCTCGTCCCCTTTTGTGCATGTCCTTACCCATGATGCACACAGACAAACCCATTGTGTGGGGGCTGAACCACAATGCTAATTACATTACAGTGAGCACAGTGTCATGTCTGGTTAGGTCCTTTTTGCTACCATGCAGTCGTGGCTGTCAGGTTCTAACTGGTTTCTCGCTGGCACTCATTTAGAAGTGAAGCCCCTTTATGCTGGAGGCGGGCATAACGCCATCTGCCACACCATTCTCCTTCTCCTCCACCTGTCTGCCCGGTGTCCCCACTTACCTAACTACCTAACATTTATACCTACATGTGAATAAGAAACATATGCCTGTTTCTTTCTCTGCTTCTGCTATATTACAACTACAGCCACCTCAGATTTGTAAAGTTTAGTCACAGGCTTTGTATAAGGACCTGATTTTAGAAAGTCCCTCTATTATAAAATATTAGTATCACATATAAATGTATAGCAATAGTGAAAAGGCGATCCCTTGTAAAATGATGTCTTAAGTACCCATGTGTACAGAGTGATGTTAAAGCAACTTGAACAGATAGACTTCCTTTCCTTGAGGA